CTAGAATTAAAGGCTTGAGTGCCACCATTTTCTAGCCTCTGTATCTAGTGGCTGTCTGTTCTCTGACCCCAGATAAATTTATTAGGGTGCACAATATTTTGGGGAACACAATACCACCACATTTCCCCTTTTTTGTCTAAAATTAAAAAAAGCTTATAACTAATACAAGAAAAACTATCCGATAAGTATATACAATACATTGTCAAAAATTACATTAACAATGTCTAGTCCATTCAAAAATTACATTAACAATGTCTAGTCCATTAACATTTGACAGATTCAGATAAAAAACTCCATTATATGTTAACAGTGTCCAGTCCAGTAATATTTGATAAACTCAAACAAAAAATTTTCATTACTTATTTAAAACAAGTAGTTCCTTTTTAAAAATATTTTTTCTTTTCATAATAGATTCAATAATCTACCTTTTGTCATTTTTATATATACCCCCTTTTCTTTTTAGTGTAGATTCAGTGATCTACCCATTTATCCTATTTCTTTATCTTTTTGTTTTTAGACAAAAACTCTGAATCTAATCTCCTTGTTCAGCTTTTTTTCCTAACCCTTAACAACTTGTAACCAACCATTGTAAACAATATTATTTCTTTATCTTTTTGTTTTTAGACAAAAACTCAATCTAATCTCCTTGTTCAGCTTTTTTCCTAACCCTTAACAACTTGTAACCAACCATTGTAAACAATGACAATATCCAAAACTCACTAAACAACCAAAAACCTACCATCCCACCTCTTGGGAATGTGGGCATCATTTTCTTAAAATTACTTCCTGCTTTCTAGGGGCGAAGACATCTTTAGGGATTCCTGAAAAGAAAATTTTTGGGTTAATTGTCAAGTCCTGTATCATTTGTCCAGTCGCTGCATAATGGGAAAGTGCAGGGCTTGTTTCAAATCCTTGTTCAAGTAGTCTGTCAGGCTGGATCATCTCAGCTAGTCATCTCGAAATTGTCCTAAACAGTTAGTAGTCCAAAGTCAATCTTTCCGTGATGTTAATCAGCTTAATAGCTTTACCATAGTCCAGTCCCATCTTCCTTTTGAAGATTTCAAAGTCGCTGTTAGGCGTGGTTCCCTGCAGACATTTTTTTTTGGGGGGGGGAGGGGGGATGGAAGATCAGAGAACCAGAACAAGCCACAGCTCCCTCACCTCACCAGATCCTCAGCTGGTCTTGTTTCCTCAGACTGGAGGCCTCTGAGTCCTCATCCAGAATGGGTCTCAGCTGAATTGCTGCTCAAAAGCCTGAATGCTTAACCAGGCCAAATGCTTACCCAGGCCAAATGCTTCTTGTTCCTGGTCCTCACACCTTATATATCTTTCTGCCTTCTACCATCACTCCCTGGGATTAAAGGCTCGCTTTCTGGGATTAAAGGCGTGAGTCACCATGCTTGGCTGTATCCTTGGAACACATGGATTTCTGCCTAGCTCTGCCTCCCAAGTGCTGGGATTAAAGGCGTGTGCTACCACTGCCTATCCTCTATGTTTAATATTGTGGCTGTTCTGTCTCTGACCCCAGATAAGTTTATTAGGGTGCACAATATTTTGGGGAACACAATACCACCACAACCATACATGAACACACACGCAAGCATGTATACATTACCACCCACATAATTAAACTAGTTGCTTTACTTATATTTGTTTGGTTTGAGTTTTGCATTTGGGGACAAGATTTCACAAGGCTACCCCCTTCCCAGTTTTGATTAGAAATAGACTATTATTAAGACTGATAATATTTGTCCTTCAGATATAATTTGATTTCTAGGAGTAGTTATTTGTGCCTGTACTCTCAGGTTTTGGAATGCTTGGGCAGGAAAATTTTGCAAAGTTCAAGACCCCTGCTTGGGCTACAGTTTGAGATCCTTATCTCAAAAGAAATGAACAAACAAAAACCCCAGGATTGGGAACGGGCATTTTGATCCTGGTATCCTAGAGCATACTGTAATTCCATTGCTTGGGAGGCAGAGGCAGGTCTTTCTCTGCTGCACAGTGAGTTTCAGGCCAGCTTGAAGTATGGGAGACAATCTCAAAATCAGAATCAAAGTGTTCCCTAACTTACCTAAAAAGATGGGTTAGTGTCTAAATGTACTCTTAGATAGTTATAGATGTAGGCCAACATAAAAAAACATACACTTATTTAAAGCATGAGAATTTTTTGCAATTTTTTGTGTGACTCAATTGTGCCATTCTCAGGTGCATACTTTTTTAGATGATAACTAGTGTGGCAATGCAGAAAGCTGGACAATCCTGTGAGGACTATAAAATGAGAAATTCACAAGGCAAATGTCTGGCTATTTCCATGTTCTAAAATCTGAGCACATGTGTTCCTTACATCTTTGTGTTTGTTGCGGAGAGTTTGTCATCGACCTGTAATTTTAGGAGATTGGGAACATTGGCTGTCTTTTCTGTTATACTTCTAGCATCTTGGAAATCCCTGGAGTAAGCAGATATGTAATATTTGAAGAAATTTGAGTTTGGGATGACTTTTATGATATTGAGAAAATGGTGAAGAAAAAAAGAACTTTTTGCCTTTTTCCAGATTCTGTATCCCTTTTGCCTTACTTGGCAAATCTTAAAGTCACTTCAACTGGCATAGATTGATTGCACTTGCTGTTTGTCTTAATATTTTTGGCATCTGCCCTTAGCTATATTATTTCTGTGAAAGTCATTAGCAGTGCTAAGTATTTCACTGTTTATTTGACTTAGTAAGTCTGTTGTGAAGGTCAGAATTTTGTTTGTTAGTTTTGGTTTTTTTGGGTTTTTGTTTTTTGTTTTTTTCCGAGACAAGGTTTCTCTGTATAGCTTTGTGCCCTTCCTGGAACTCACTCTGTAGCCCTGGCTGACCTGGAACTCACAGAGATCCGCCTGCCTCTGCCTCCAGAGGCTGAGATTAAAGGCATGTGCCACCACTACCTGGCCTCAGAATTATTATTCAATTATTTATTTGACCAGAAAAGCAGTAGGTTTTTGAAGTGAAATGTATTTTAAGCCAATCTTCCCTGAAGTTTTCGCTTTTTATTTTGGAACTGCTAAATATTTGCACTTTTAAATTAAAATTACTTAAAATTACTTTTGCTAGTCTTCTCTGCATCAAATGCCATCAATTAGTATGTTCAGTAAGTTATACATAAATCAGATTTTGTGATTAAAATATTTTATCACAGAACTTTTTCTTTAGTTTAAATCTGTAATTTTTTAACAAAATGCCAAGCATATATATTAAATAAAGTGTAGAATGGGGACTAGTGAGATAACTCAGCCAACCACCGATGGACATGATTTTGATTGGGGAAGAAGAGAACTGACTCTTACAAGTTGTCTTCTGACTTACTCAGGGGCACCATGGCACACACATATACAATAAATAAATGTAATAAAAATGCTTGAAGTGTAGAACAATGTAAAAGATTTCCATATACCTGCCACAGGGACTAAATCAATGTTAAATAACATTGAAAAACAGGAGAAGCTTGAGCTCTTGTCATTGTGCTCTTGGTTCTTCTCTCATTGACTATTATAATATGTGTAGTGTATTGGGTGCACCCCTGGTACTAAGAATGTTGGGCTGTGAGAATCTGTAATTAGCAGTGAGTGTTAACACCGATTCAGTAAGAAACCACTTAACACCATCTTGGAAGACACATTGGTGAGTGATGGTGTTTTCTAACTCTGATGAGACACATTAATCAACTCCTCCCTTCTGTGCTTAAGAACTTAGTCACTGAACCAGTGAGTAGACCTGGCAAGCCAGTCACAGCCTTATCTGTAAGAGCTATTTGTCAGTGTAGAGATTTGTAAATCTCAATGTAAAATCTGAGATTTTTATTTTAGCTTTCAGAACTTTTGAGTCAAATAAGTTAGCGTGCCCTGTAGGGTAAATAACTAAAGTAAGTTGATGTGAGTGTTCAGGTGTTTGATGCTGACTGGACAGTAACTTTGTTTTATATTTTGCTAGGCAATCTAGGCGAATACTTTTCAATAACAGGCAGTGCTGTTACTAGCAGACAAGGCAGTAACAGGTGGTGGTAGTGAAATGAGATGAGGGAACTTCATGGCTTGTATAAAGGCATATGTAGCACAAACCTTAAAAAGTCTTATTAATAAAAACAAACCTGAAGCAGGTATTGGGTTAAAGCTGGAAGGTCAGAGAAACAGAACAAGCCACAACCACCTCACCTTGCCAATTCCTCAGCTGATCCTGTTTCCTCAGACTGGAAGTCTCTGAGTCTTCATCCAGAATGAATCTCAGCTGAACTGCTGCTAAAAGCCTAAAAGCTTAACCAGCCTAGTTCCTGGTCCTCAAGCCTTAAATACCCTTTTGCTTCCTGCCATCACTTTCTGGGATGGATTAAAGGTGTGTGTGCCACCATTTTCTGGCCTCTATATCTAGTGGCTGTTCTATTCTCAGACCCCAGAGAAGTTTATTAGGGTGCACAATATTTTGGGGAACACAATATCACCACAGGCATAGAGAAAATTTTTGTGTCTATGTTGGAGAACTTGAATAGGTCAGATGAGGCTGAAGAAATAAGGCAGGAGTTTTTGTTTTGTTTTGTTTTTGTAGTGAAGAATACGCGTGTTAAAGCAGGTGTATTTCAAACTGCTGACCATATACTGTTATATATTGGAGAACTGTAAAACTCTTGTAAAGGTAAGCTAAAATTCAGTGAGTGTACAGAGCGCCAGGACGTGTGTGTGTTTTAAACTGTCTTTACTGGAGGTTCCAATGGCCAGGATTCTGCCTGAAAATGCTGGGTGGAGTGCGCAGGAACCATTCCTGAGGTGGCGCAGCTGGGTGGGCGTAGCCGAGACAGTTGCAGAAGCACGAACTGGACGCGTACTTCCGGGCTCTGGGCGCACGCGCGGGCGGGAGGGCGGGCGCGTGGCATTGTGGGCCGGCGGCGCTGCGCGAGGTCGGCGGCCGTTTGTGTGCGGCCGGCGGCCGGTGCCGCGCGCTCTCACTGTCTTGTGTTTGATGTGTTGAGCAGGAGGCAGCCCGCGCCATGAGCAGCACGGCCATGGTCCCCAGCGCGCCGGGCCCGGGCCCGGGCCCCAGCGGCGGACCAGGCGGAGGCACCGAGGTGATCCAGGTGACCAACGTGTCCCCGAGCGCTAGCTCTGAGCAGATGCGGACGCTCTTCGGTTTCCTGGGCAAGATCGACGAGCTGCGCCTCTTCCCGCCGGAGTGAGTACCAGGGCACTGCGGGCCCGCGGCCCTTCCGGCGAAGCGAGGCGCGCGGTCCGGCGGAGCCTGGCGTGGAAGATCCGAGGGCCCGCCAGGCCGCAGGCCGGGCATGAACGCCTGAGTGGCGTTTCAGAAATGTTTTTCCTCTTGACGTTGTCGGCACCATCATTTTACTTCAGACACTTAATCTTTTGGTTAAATCCCCCTTTAAAAGAAAAGCTAATCCTGTGCTTTGATAGGAATGAAATGAAATTGTTATGTTCATTGGTGTAAATATTTGTGTGCTATTCACAAATAATTGAGGAATGTTCTTCAGTGATTTTTTTTTTTTGAGCTTGGGAAGAACATCGAAGATCATTTACCCCCTTTGACAGACTAAATCGATGGGCCTGATTGCTAAATTTTGACATAGTTCAGAAATTCATCATAGTTGAATCTCGGTGTGTTGTTTAATGTTAATTATAATTAGTCGTGAAGGGATTTTTCAGAATGTGGAAAATTGAATTAGGTTTTATATGGGTTTTGTCTTGTTTTGAAAGTTGTTTTTATTGGAATAATATTAAATGAGTATGTTCACTGTAAAGAACAAAGAAGTTATAAAGATAAGTTGAAATACACATACACACTTGAAATAATTTCGTGCCCTCTAGGAAGAATTATGAAGTTTAGGGAAAGCATAGTGGTTACTCTTAGTAAACACTCCCAATCAAATTAAATTTTGGGGTTTTATGATGTCCCTTAGATTCTAAGTAGGAAATTAGAATCCTCACAGTCTTCTGTTGTGTATATATGTAATCACTAATCATGCCAAAGTTGACCATATGGCCTATGTGAAATATTTTCACATAACTGTTAGTGCTTGACATTAATGTGTTCTTAAATTTTATTGAAAATATAAAAGATTTGGTTCCCAGTTTGCATGATGTGTGTAGAGTTTAGGAACAACTGTTATTTTGAGCAGAACCTTGGCCTTGGAAATCAACAAGGCAACTTCTTATGGGAGCATACAGAAATTAATGCTCTCTGTTCCTTAGTTTTCTCATACCACACTGTTATGATTGCTTGTAAAATTGCACAAAATCATGATTTCTGGTATAACTTTCTCTTTTTTGTGGTGGTTGTTGTTTGTTTGTTTTTCGAGACAAAGTTTCTCTGTGAACCCTTTCCTGGAACTTGCTTGTAGCCCAGGCTGGTCTCGAACTCACAGAGATCTGCCTGCCTCTGCCTCCTGAGTGCTGGGATTAAAGGCATGCACCACCACTGCCCAGAGTGACATAACTTTTTATAGAGCCCCTCGGGTTACTAAAAATTCTATATAACTGCTCACTTTTAAATGATCTGTTTATTCTCCAGAGCTATTCTGTACTGTATTTAAAAGGTAACAAAGAGGGGGGTGGTGGCTCACGCCTTTAATCCTAGCACTTGGGAGGCAGAGCCAGGTAGATCTCTTGTGAGTTCGAGGCCAGCCTGATCTACAAAGTGAATTCCAGGACAGGCTCCAAAAAGCTACACAAAGAAACCCTGTCTCAAAAAAAAAAAACAAAATAAAAACAAACAAAAGATAACAAGGAGAAGTGGGTATTGTATTGGTTTTTTTCTTGTTGACCTAGTTAGTGGACAATACCTAAAGGAGGTTATGATAAACGTGAGTTTGGCCTTTTTATGGTGACATGGGTAATTCCATCATAAGCTGAGTAGTTGCAGGGGTTTGTTCATTCCTTGAGGTAATCTGGGTTACTGTGTACTCAACTTCCTCCTTATTCCATATAAAAACTGTAGCACAGCAGCCTTCAACAATTCACAGGCTAAGTTCAGCCCTCCTACCTTTCATAGACTGAGATTCTTGTGTAGATGTAACTGACCGTCTTTTTAAATAAGAAACACAGAACCAATGCAAAGAAGAAAGCCAAGAGATCAGAGCTAAGAGCCTTACCCGCCTCCTGCAGCTAGCCTCTTAAGCCAAGAGACATCTCCAAAAGAGACCTACTTTCTGTCTGTTTGTCTTTATATAGACTTTCTGTTCTGCCTTCTCATTGGTTGTAAAACCAACCACATGACTGCCTCGTCACTCACTGTCTGTTGGCTGTATCCTTGAACACACAGAGATCTACCTAGCTCTGACTATCAAGTGCTGGGATTAAAGGCATGCGCCACCACCGCCCAGCTCTGCTATGGCTTGCTATTAGCTCTGACCCCCAGGTAACTTTATTTATTACCATACAAATAAAATCACATTTCAGTACAAATAAAATACCACCATATTTCCCCTTCTTTATTTTAATAAAAAGAAAAAAGGAAAAAGGTTATAACTAACATAAGAAAAACTATATACAAAAGTACAATAACTATATACAATACATACAAGTAATAAATACCTAAACAATGTCTAGTCCATTTGTATTTGACAAATTCAGAGAAAATAATTCCATTATCTATCCTATTTTGGTAAGTCCAAAATGTACCTAATTCATTTTCTATCCTAACTAGTCTTCAACTATAACTAACTAATCTTCAACTCCCTCAGAGACCCAAGAAGAAAAATATTACCTAACAAAAATGAAAACAGAAAGTGCATGCAAGCAACTTCCAAAAAATTTGTGAGTTGACAGAAACAGCCAGCTGCCTGGACAGTCACCTGAGGTTTCTCTGCAGTGTTGGGGCATCATCTTCAGCCTATAGGCTTAGCGTATTTGACAGACTCATTTGTGAAGTAGGATGTACACAAGGTCATCAGTTCAACCTCACATTGGGTGAGAGCAGTCCATGTACCAGAAGCACCTGAATTCCACTAGTGTCATGTCATGATTCAGGATTTTAAATTCTGGAAATTGTTGATGGTTTTTGAATTCAGCTGTCCATTCTTGGCTGTATATATATGGCTTCATCTCAGCATCCCGTTCTTCTCCGCATCCCTCTATTAAATGCCAGTCTACTATTGAGAGGTGTGAGCTTAGTTACTCTTTAAGAATAACTGTTTCAGCTGCTCTTCCATTGCACATCAAAAGCCATCGGCCCACTGCCTGTTCAGCTGCCTTCGAAGAAAAGGGCACTGTACCTTTTCCGAATTGCGAAGGCCACTTCAGGGATGGTGCCATATTGTCCTAGCCTCAGAAGATGCCTTTTGATAAAGCCATAACCACACTTGTTTTGGCAAGAATCGGTAGTCCTTTGTTTCGTGTCCTGTCTGTCCTGTTTGTCAGCAGTTGATTCAGGGATACTTTGTTGTCCAGTGGCTAACTTTTGCCACAATGAAAGTTAACTCCATATACAGTTTCTTCAATGCCTATATTTTCTCTGAAGTAGATTGGTACTGCCAGGAGCCGACATGTGTCATAGTCATAACAAAAAAGAAAAATTTTCTAAGTTATTAAAACATTTTAAATGCCATATTCTGTAGATCTCTGAAGGGTTTGAAGATGACCTGTCTATCTAAAATATATCTGCTCAATTTTTAAAACATACTTAATATGACTACAAGTTCTATTATAATGTCTAACTACTAACTTTCATTTCTTTATATCCTAATAGTTGGTAATAATAACATTCAAGGATCAGAAAATTGCATTACATTGTTAAATGAACGGTATAAGTACAATTAGAAATATACATATAGCATTTTCTAACTATCAATTTCAATATATATATATATTGTCTACAATATAAAACAATCCAATCCAATGTAAAGTATTTAAAACTAGTAATTGTCTTTTTCTTTTTTTTTAAACAAGAACCTTAAACCTAATCTCCTTTGCTTAGCCTTTTTCCTAACCCTTGACAACAACTTGTAGCCAACCCTCCGAAACAATGAAAATTATCCCAGCCCCAAAACCCATTAGAAAGACCAAAAAAACACCCGCCCCACACCACCTCTTTGGGAATGTGGGCATCTTATTCTTAAAATTGCTTCCTGCTGGGTATGGGCGAAGTTATCTTTATCCTGAAAGAAAAATTTTAGGTTAATTGTCGAATTCTAGGAAAGGTAACTATATCCTTCATTATCCAGTCTGTGTATAATGCCAAAGTTCAGGGTTTATCTCAAGTCCTTATTCAAGTAGTCTTTGAGACTGGATCATCTCAGCTAGCCATCTCAAAATTGCTCTGAGCACTTTGTAGTCCAAAGCTGATCTGTAGATGATGTTTGTCAGCTTAATGATATTATTATTATTGTCCACATGGAATTGTTGTCCATCTTCTTACTGGAGACTTCATTTGATGTTAGGCCTGGCCATGATTTCCTGCAGAAAACTGATAAGAGACTCGAACACAAAGACATATATATATACAGCTAATTGAAGCCTTTTTTCTAGAATTAATTAGTACTCTATATGACCATTCATATCTTAACAAAGTTTAAAATGTATATATATCTATATATATTAATCTTGTAAATTTTGATATAAAATGTATACTTTAAGAAAAGTTTAAAGAATCAGAATAGAATCAAAGAGTTGAGATTAGTAATAGAACACTTCCTTAATTAATTTGGCTTTTCTCCTGTCCCATAGCAGAAGATGGCTCTTCTGTCATGATACAGGGAGTTTGCATTTTCCTTTTAACAACATGCTTGACTTTAAGGAAGGAGAGAGCCATTCTCCAACTCCAAAGTCAGCTTTAAATTTTAATTCAGCTGGGACTATTAGAAGACAAATAGTGTTAGATCTTTAGAGAAGAGCAGAAACAAACATTTAGGAAGACATAAAATTTTTTAGATGATACACCCATACGCCATTTCACTCTGTTTCCTGGGATAGATGATTTGTCCCTTTTCTTCAGTTGTCTCATTTGTCCTGTGTTCTTCAGATTCCTTAACCTTCATTCTCCTAAAAGACAAAAACAAAAACCTTTCCCCAAGACTAATTTTGGGGATGTTCCTTTTTGGCAAGTTATTATCTGATTAAATGAAAAGGCGTGTGTTACTGGTATAAGTTAGTTTAAATTGGATGTTCATGCTGGTTGAAGAACTATCACCTCCTCCAATTAAGAGGTCTCTCTTGTTCAAA